CAGAGCCTGTTCCCTGTGTCATGCTTTGTTCGTAGCATGTCCTGGCCTCTGCGGTTGGAAACCCCCTCCCAGGGAGAAGCATCACTCCCTCTGCATCAACAATCCCAGACTATTCCATTTGCCTCATTAGCAATAGATGTTACCCAGTGAAGGAATCCTCTTTTATACGTTAACAATAGAATACGTTTCTGCATTACTCTTATTCAGGAAAAGGACTGTATCACTTCCACCAGATATAGAATTTCACAACAAAAGCAATAACAACAACAAAAAATTCCCCAGCCATAACGCCTGCAGGCAGACCAAGTGAAATGTATACCCCTGCTTTGCCTTTCAATTAGTATACAGTGTGCCTAAGTTTTACAGGCTTTGTTTTGATAACCTATTTGAACCAATGACACACAATATAGATTATTATTGGGAATGCATTGCTGTTCTCATTTCTGTGTCTTAAAAAGCCCTGTTACACTTTGTGACTTAACAGCACACGTATGCACAGCAAAGGGAGGCAAGAACTAAGCAGTAAGAGAAGAATCATGTATGAGAATGCTTCTGAAAAGGAAAGAGTCTAGGAAAAGCAATGCATGAATCTAAAGCTCTAAGTCTTTATATTTTATTTAAAGTTCCATTTCACTGTTAACATATTACCCTAGAAAGCTTAGTTTCTTACTGTCATTTCAATTAATACAGTCACTTTAAAAAGCACAAAGGAGGCTGTGATACCACTCACATTAATGAAGTCTTACTGATTACATGCTTCCTACCCAAGCAGCTTTTGACAGTATTTTCCCCAGAGTTACGGTAACAGAGAAAAACCCTGTAAAACAGACTTGCAAACGTAAAAAGCAGAGGCTTTTTTTAAATTAAAAAGCTAAATGTATTAGCCAGGATCACTTATCAGGAAATAGGCAGCTCTGCCTCACACCCACAAAGGTAACTGTATTCGTGTACATACAGGCAATACATAACAAAGAGCGATAAGTCAGTATTTAAAATCACTTCCAAATCACGCTGAAGTCCCATGATACCATGCAGTCTCTAACCCGCATGTGAACGATAACTTAAGAGCTTACAAAAAAAGAAAAAAGTAAAGCACTTGTCCGCTCCGTTGCCAAGCCAGGTGCGTGTGGGTCCGCGTAGCAGCGGCCCCCGCGTCTCTCCCGGAGCACCCCCGTGGCCGGGGCCGGCCCCGCCGGGGTGCGGTGGGACACCCGATGGGGACACAGCCGCCGCGTCCACCCGGCCGCGTTACG